GGGGGGGGGGGGGGGGGGGGGGGGGGGGGTGGAATGTCAAAGGTGACTTGTGCCTTGCCGTTGGTTCCCCACACCAAACCGAAGTGCAGACCACTAAGGGGGGGACCATCGAGATAAGTGACCTAAACCTAACCCCTAACTAACAGGAACCAGGACCAACACACCCATAATCATCATCCTGAGCATGAAATACCTACCTGCATGTTCACCATCACTCCTCTGGAACAGCAGCTCCCTCCCCTCATCCATTGGGGGGGAGGTCCTCTCCACCTGGACAGCCTTCATCACCTGGAAAATGAAGAATGTAAGGAGGTCAGGACCTGACCCCCCCCCCCCCCTCTGCTAATTCAACTCCAAAATGATGGACCCACAGGCTGCCCAGGTAGGAGCAACACCTCCAGCTGAAGAAGGGTGAGTTACCTTCACTTTAAATTACTCCTTTAGATTTAATTTGCCCTATTCCTCCTTTTTATTTTCCCTAAGCATTCACAATGGACCAATAGGACACTTTTACAGTAACTATGACCCAGCGATTCCTTTCCTCCTACCTCTTTTCTTCCCTCACTGTCATGTCCAGACCTGGAGGGGGGCTCTCTCTCCCTGGCCCCCGGACTGCATCTCCTGATTGGGGACATGGAGCCCGCTGATGGTGATGGAAGCAGAAACCCGGTCCCCGTCCCAGCAGCTGCTTACGTGGAGTTAAGCCTGGCATCCCAAAGACTGCCCCCCCCCACATGCAGAGAGCGCGGCTCGACAGAAGGATCTCCTCTGCCGTTTCAATTTCCTGTGAGGAAGCCATCCGCCTGAGGAAGATCCCGTCAAGGGATCGAAACTTTGCTGTGTTTTGGCTCGCTATTTCAATTTGTTTAATTCATTTATTTATTTAATAAAAAGTATTCTTTTTTAATGTTGTGGGTTCTCTGAATTAGTATTTTAGCACAAGTTCGGACGACTTATCTTTTTCACAAAAGTTTTAAACATCCTTTATCTAAACAAAAACTATTAACACACTGACTTACATGATGGAGGAAGGGAACCAGCACTGGACTGCGGTGCCGTACCGGAGAGGACAGAGGAACTGGCAGAGCGGAGGAGCAGGCGGAGAGCAACAACACAGCGGCTGCACCAGCACCACGGACAGCAGCGGTGGCGCTCCCTCATCAGCACCACGGACAGCAGCGACGCTCCCTCATCAGCACCACGGACAGCATCGACGCTCCCTCATCAGCACCACGGACAGCAGTGCTCCAGAGGAAGGCGGCAGCACCTACACTGTAACAAAGCACATCCGGACAGAGGTCAGAAAAATGGCCCCTCTGTGCACAGAAAAAGCACCTCATACTGGGGGACTCCAGCCTGGCCTGGATTACACCATTTCAGGTTCCGGAGGTCCAAAGTGACTCCTTTCCCAGAGCGGCCTTCCAGCACCTCATCCCCCTGATTGCAAACACCAGGGTAGAGTCACGGTTCAGTCCAGAATTAATTAATTTGGAATGAATTATAGGGATCGATCCCCAACCATAACAGTTGGAAGAGCCTGTAGGTGCGGTGAAAAACAATTTCCCACACACAGCCGTCTATATTCCTAAGATTAAATTCTCATCCCTCCTCACACGTCAACAGAAACATTTTTACATCTATAAATAATTTTATATAGTGAATCACTAAGATTTTATCACAGTTTTACCAACTAGCGTTTTGAAAACCAGGGTGGCACGCCACCACCGGACCCACGCCACTGCCACACGCACGCTGGAGCACTGGAGACGCCAAGTAAACTACAGGCAAGCCACACAGGGCTTCAAAAGCATACAGGTATTAGCAAAGAAGACCATTTTAAATAAGGGACTGTACTTACTTCAGATGTGACAAGTGGTCCATTTTTACATAGAATAAAATGTGTAAAAACACACATACCCATGTTTATTAATCATGAGAGCAACCATTATGTTCACCATCTGTCTTCTTGTTGCATCACTTGGGTTTCTGTTGTTTTACTTCTTCACCACCAGACTTGCTTTGAAGGACACCTTCAACTAGCTATGAAATGAACAGAAAGGAAATGTATGGCGATATTCAGATTACCCAGATATGTCCCAGCAGGGTAAAAGAGTTAAGAGGTGCATAAAAGATATTGTTACCATATTGCCAGACACTCCCACTGTTCAAGTTGATGCATTTGAGCTGAAGCTTGGGTCAGACTTTGAAGCACATCATCCAGAGACCATTCAGAGAACTGTGAAGAAAAAAAGCAATAAACTCCTTTAGTAAAATCTGTATGATGCTTGATTTAATTTGCTTTTATATCGCAACCTTAAGGACAATAAACCTTCTCTAAAACATTGCCTGCTTTAATGGGGTCACTGAATATTTCTTCATCGCCAGTATCTGTGCCATCCTTGTATCTAACTTTGGCATCAGGTGGCAGGCAAACTCTTTCAATGCCTGGAAGAGTAAGAATGCAAAGTTTAGATTCTAATACTCTAATCACCAAGTGTGTCATTAACTTTTTTGGGTTGTTGAACATATGTCATAATCACCACAGATTTGTTAACAATCGGTTGACTACTAAGTATGTAATTTCCCTAAATCCTTTTTCCCCCTAATTTACCCTGCACACCGGTTTATTCAATTAAATTTTTTTGTATAACGCCACATTACAACAACAACAGTTATGTCACAGCTTTGCTTTAGACAGTAAACAACCTTTCTGATGCAATTGATGAAAGTAAAACTTGCCTTTCAACTTCACATACTTGTTCACAGTACAACAATAACCCTTAACTGCAGGAATGAGTCCTACTGTTCAGCTCCAAATAAGTCACACTTCACAGTTCCATAGGGTTGGTGTATGTATGTGTGTGGGGGAAGATGTGTGAAGATGAGTAAAGGGGTTTTGGTTTGGAATGGGACCTACCACACCGCAGAGTGCAGGAGCAGAGGGACAGGTCCAGTGATCCGGAAGAGGAAGTTCATGAAGGACGGCTCGCCATCAATTTCCATCCGCAGATCCAATCCAGACAATGGGAGAAAAACACAAGCACACCAAAAAAACCTGAACTGTGAACAGACAGGGTCAGAAAAAAAGTCACAGCTTAAGTCTCATGCAATGATATACACTACATGACATTCACAAAGATAAACATACTGTGCGTTGTTTGCTTTCTGTTCCTCACTCTCAAGTAAGCATATAAACAGAAATAAAAATACACCTTCATATTCACTAAGTGCACCTGAATGATTTAAGGTGCATTCGAAAGCTAAATTATTCAGTTGAAAATGAACATTCTCACCGATTTTACCAGAGAGGCTGGACACACACAGACACAAAATGGCGACGCCGCGAAGTCTTCAAAATGGCGCCGCCCGGTGAAGCGCGAGGTGATCAAAATGGCCTCCTGGTAAAGCCCCACGGTCTTCTAAAGCCAAAACATAAGGGACCCAATGTAAATTAAAAGACTTTCCCCTCAATGCAAAATAAATTAGCTTTCACAATAATGTGATAGAGAATAAACAAATGCCGTTTTTCATTAATTACCTGACTCTTGAACCAGCAAAGACTGCAATACGCGGGGAAATCCTACGGACATCAAAGCTAAATATATAAACACAGAATTTACAACTAAATTCTTACAACAGTTACCTACCACGGTTGTAGAGTTTAAGTTAGCCTCAGTGTAGTCCGTTGCTAGCTGTATTTTCTCCAGGTTGTCTCCGTTTTTTACTGTTTTTATCCTCTACAGCTGAGTAGCTCTTCTCTGTCTTTCCAGAAGCGGGACATACTAACTTTTGCGCGCTCACAGTGACGTGGGAGCAGGTGGGCGGGCCTACCTGCTCTCAGCTGATTGGCCAAAGTAACCTGTCAATCTATTCTGCCCTTTTTTAACCCTTTAAATGCTTCAATAAAAGTTCCTTTTCAATAATAAAATCACTGTCATTCAGATTTTTTCAGGGTTTTCTTGTTTTTAAAACTGGATAAGGTCAGCTGTGTTGCGCTCCAGCAACACTGAAGAAAATACTGGATTAATCCACACCCTGGAGCGCTTGTCTTTGTGATCCCAGATCCAAAGTTTTGGGTTCCATTTGTGTTAAAATCCTCAGTGTGGTCGCATCCCTGTTAACAGTCCTTTCTGTATGAAATTTCTCTGTTTGGTGACACAGTTGAAATGACTTCTCTGGTCCAGACTGTTTTAAAATCCTGTGTGGTTACGTCCTCCACAGCTCTTCTTCTCTCATTAAATTGCCTTCCAGGTGCATTAAACTGTAAAAATCTACCCCAAAAAATCATAAGACCTATAGAAAAATCATTCTTGTGTCCCATAAACCGCACCACAGCAGGAAATGTGTATTTCCCCTTCCAACAGGGAACAGCTGCTGCTCCATGCGCTCATCTTGACATGTGTTTCTAACCCTAACCCTAACCCTAACCCTTACCTTTTCATTAAACTTTGTTAAGCATCATTATGAGTCATCTGATGCAGCAGCTGAATATAAATGGACTCCTTTAAATCTTCTTTGTGTATGTTTTTGACGTTTTGGTGGAGAAGTGGAACAGCGTGAGACCTGAAGCGAGGCCACAGTGCATTGTGAGCAGTGAAGTCCAGGGAGGGGGTGAAAGTCCAATTGTAGGGATTTATGCAATATAGCTAAAAGAAGGGGAAAGAGGAAAGGAGAGACAAAGGCACTGAGTAGTTCTACAGAGAAATGTAAAGATGAGAAGCTATCGGGAGAGGTGGGAAGGGGGGATGGAGAAAGTTAAGGGGGTGGGAGGGGAGCCAAGAGTGAGAGAAAGAGATACATTTAATACACATAGAGAAAGAGAGAGAGACTGTGAAAAAAGATGGCGGGTTGGTGTATTAGGGAGTTTGGGTTGGAGCGGAGAGTTGGGACAGGGGGTGAATGCACGAGGATAGGTTTAGTGCTGGGGGTTAGGGTCAATGCTGGGGGTTAGGGTTAATGCTGGGGATTAGGGTTAATGCTGGGGGTTAGGGTCAATGCTGGGGGTTAGGGTTAATGCTTGGGGTTAGGATTAGGGTTAATGCTGGGGGTTAGGGTTAATACTGGGTTAGGGTTAGTGCTCGGGGTTAGGATTAGGGTTAATGCTGGGGGTTAGGGTTAGGGTTAATGCTGGGTTAGGGTTAATGCTTGGGTCAGGATTAGGGTTAATGCTGGGGGTTAGGGTTAATGCTGGGTTAGGGTTAGGGTTAATGCTTGGGTTAGGTTTAGGGTTAGGATTAGGGTTAATGCTGGGTTAGGGTTAATGCTTGGGGTTAGGGTTAGGGTTAATGATGGGTTAGGGTTAGGGTTAGGGTTAATGCTGGGTTAGGGTTAGGGTTAGGGTTAGGGTTAGGGTTAATGCTTGGGGTTAGGATTAAGGTTAATGATAGGGTTAGGGTTAGGGTTAATGCTTGGGGTTAAGATTAAGGTTAATGATAGGGTTAGGGTTAGGGTTAGGGTTAATGCTTGGGGTTAGGATTAGGGTTAATGCTGGGTTAGGGTTAGGATTAGGGTTAGGGTTAATGCTTGGGGTTAGGGTTAATGCTAGGGGTTAGGGTTAGGGTTAATGTCTGGGGTTAGGGTTAGGGTTAATGCTAGGGGTTAGGGTTAATGGTGGAAGTTATACTTAGTGCTGGCGATTAAGGTTAATGCTGGGTTAGGGTTAATGCTGGAGGTTATACTTAGTGCTGAGGGTTAGGGTTAATGTTGGAGGTTATACTTAATGCCTGAGGGTTAGGGTTAATGCTGGAGGTTACACTTAGTGTTGGAGGGTTAGGATTAATGCTGGAGGTTAGGCTTAGATTTGGAGGGTTAGGGTTAATGCTGGAGGTTTTACTTAGTGCTGGAGGGT